GGGGCCTTGGGAGCCCCCCCACGTGCAGGCTCCAGGTTACTCTGCATGTAAACCCACACTCACGTCTCTTCCTTCCTCCCCACTACAGAGTTTTATGGACGAGGAGCCCCTTACAATGCCTTGACCGGGAAGGACTCCACTAGAGGGGTAGCCAAGATGTCCTTGGATCCTGCAGACCTCACCCATGACACTGTGAGCCAGATTATAAGCCTTTGTTAAAATGCTCTACCTCCTTGTCCATACCTTTTTCTCTTTTTCTTTTTTTCTTTCTTTCTTTTTTTTTTTTTTTTTTTACCTCTGGGCAGGAGCAAGGCTTCCTAACTGGCTTATTTACCCCTGTGGTCTGCTTGGTGTGGTGGCTAGGCATTTTCTTGAAATAGATTATCCTGCCGTGTCACCTTGACTCAGAAACCTTCCGTGGCTGTCTGTTGCCTAGAGTTAAGTCCAAACTCTTACGAACTTGTGATCCAACTCAGTGATCATCACAATTTGGCCCCAACCTGCTTTGGCAACCTAATGCTCCTTATGATCTGTACCTGCCACCCCGTCCCCTCAGCCCCTTACAGTCTTGCTATTAGTCTCTGAGACCCATTCCCCAGGCCATGCTTGGTAGATTTGTGGATGACCTAGATTGGGAAGAAAGGTCTCCCTCTATGCTCATATTTCTGTGAAGGAGAAGATAGCATTAAAATATTTTTTAGACCGGGAGTGGTGGATCATGCCTGTAATCCCAGCACTTTGGAAGGCCAAGGTGGGTGGATCACCTGAGGTCAGGAGTTTGAGACCAGCTAGGCCAACATGGAGAAACCCCGTCTCTACTAAAAATACAAAAATTAGCTGAGTGTGGTGGTGCATGCCTGTAATCCCAGCTACTTGGGAGGCTGAGGCAGGAGAATTGCTCGAATCCAGGAGGCGGAGGTTGCAGTGAGTTGAGATCATGCCACTGTGCTCCAGGCTGGGCAACAGAGTGAGACTTCATCTCAAAGAAAAAAAAAAAATTTTTTTTTTAAAACCTATTCAAGGTCTAAATAATCCCAACAGTAAGGCTGGAATTTCCCCCAACAGTGCTCAACATCAAACTGACGTTGAGATAAATTGAGATGAGCCAAACTTATAACAAAATGAATGTAACAATATTACAAAAATGAATGAAGAACTTAAGAAAGGGGAAGGTGCCAAATGTATAATGGGAGGAGTGTAGAGAGAGGGAGAATTAAGTGGGGGAAGGAAGGGGATGCAGATGCAGCAGGGCACGCCCTGCCCCACCCCAGCATGGTCATGGTGCTCTTTGGAGTCTTTCATCCTTGCATCAAACTGCAAAGTGTGATGAAGCATTGCTCCCCGTATGTTATACCCTCCCACCCGCCCCACACAGCAGTGTCTCTTAAGCCATTTGTCCATTATTTGGTTTGTAGAGATATCTTTTCTCTTGCATTAGGGATGTGGGAGGCAAGGCAGGGATGGAGAAAGGCCAGTGCCAAACACCATCCACTTACCCCATCTCCTGTCTTTCTTGTGCTTTTCTCCCCAAGACGGGTCTCACAGCCAAGGAACTGGAGGCCCTGGATGAGGTCTTCACCAAAGTGTACAAAGCCAAATACCCCATCGTTGGCTACACAGCCCGGAGAATTCTCAATGAGGATGGCAGCCCTAACCTGGACTTCAAGCCTGAAGACCAGCCCCATTTCGACATCAAGGACGAGTTCTGATGTTCCACCTGCAGGAGCAGGTTCTTGGAAGAATGAGGCAGGAAGACACTAGGTGCTGAATCTCCTGCAAAACGGGCTGCCTGGAGCCCCTGAGCCACACAGATCCGAATAAAACAGATGCTTACCCTGGAAGAGCAAATGCCTCCCGTTGTCCTTGGTCAGGGGTTCTGTCTACCTGGGGACCCCTGTCCGCACACCAGGAGCCAATAAGGGCCAAAGTGGGACACCTCCTAGACATCAGTGTCAGCTGGCTGGGCAGTGGGATTTTGAGCGACCTTTATACTTTTCTGTACTTGCCAAATTTTCAGCTGTGACCATGTTCATTTTATAATCAAAACAAAAATAAACATTCTCCATTTTTACAAAAGGAGAATTCTTCCCCAGAGGCCATTTCCTTGGAGCCCCATCAGCACCCCACGTAAGTGGGTGGGCTGTGTTGTTCTTCCATAGTCCTACGGAGCTGGATGGTGGGGCATTTTGGCGATGGGGCAGGAAAGGAGAGTGGTGAGGTGGGAGGGTGGGCGATGGGAAGGGAGGCAGGAAACCCGGCTGGAGTGAGGATGGGAACTGGCTTCAGCGCATGTGCAGCTGGAGACTGGTGAGGAGGACCGGGGTCAGTGTGGGCGGAGCCTGGCGGAGGTCATTCCAAGAATGGGGAGGCATATTCCTTACGCTGGACTGACGTCAGATTTTAGGAGGAAGCCCCTTTAGTTAGAGGGGGCGGATTTTTCCCTCTGGGGACATTGGGTGATGTCTGGCAACATTTTTTTTTTTTTAAATTTTTGGTTGTCATGACTGCAGGATGCTGCTGGCATCTCAAGGCCAGGGATGCTGGTCAACATTCTGTAATGCACCTGACAAAGCATTATCTGGTTCGAAATTTCATTCATACTGAGGCTGAGAAATGCTGTGTTAGATGGATCCTGGACATTTTACAGTGGAGATGAATTTCCTTGACATAAAACTTGTATTTTATTAAAATAAATAGCAACTGCCCCCAAGAGAGAATTTTCACATTAAGCAGAATAATCTGTTAAGGTGATTGTTCAAAATGTTGATTCCTGGGCCCCACCCCCAGTGCTTATGATTCAGTATTTCTAGAACATGGCCTGGAATAGTGCTTGTAGTGAGCCGCTCAGGAAGTTGCGATACAAACAGGCCCAGGCACGCTTTGAGACACCACCTTATTGCCTTATCAGTCATCACAAGGAGAACTCAGAGACTTTGAGGACAAGGTTTGACTTTTAACGTGTTTCAGGGCTGGGGAGTCCAATGGTAAACCTCTGGGTTGCACTCAAGAAGGTGGGAGCTTGATGGCCATTCAAGAGTAATGTGCCTGGATCTTACCAGATAGGACTTTTTGGCCTAGAATTCTAGAAGCCAAAGTTGTTTGTATCAGGACATTTGGCCCCAAAACAGGATGTACAAATAAATAGTGTACAAGTCCTTGGGAACAGTCGAGAGATGACTTCTTTTACTTACGTGCCCACCACTCCCTACATCACCATGTAATGTGGGGGTGGGAGGGTGGGTAGAATTCCACTCCTTAGACACAGATTTCTGCAGTGGGTCAAGGTCTCCAAATTCAGGCTCTGGGAATTTTCCAACACCACCGTTTGCTCCACTCCCGAACTCTGCCCCCATGAAGGCAGTTTTCCCTCATGGTCTCAGGCTCACCACCTCTCCCAGGATAACCCTGCCCAGTTCCCTGAGTGCACATCAAAGGCTGCCAGCCAGCCAGGACCGTGTGCAAGAAATCGACAGCCTGTGTAGGCTCCAGAAAGGGTGGGTGCAACCCCAGGGGAGGGGGCACAGATCAGCCTTAGCATCTGCATCATTGAGGTCCGCAGGGCCTAAAGAAAGTCTCGCACAGATCCTGGGAGGCCTGAAGTCTCTGCCTCATGCACCTCCTGCTCCTATGTCTATAATGGTTTCTTTTCTCTGAAGGCTCATATCCTCCTTTTAAGACTCAGCCTAGGTGCACGTGTACCAGGAAGCCCTCCCCCTCCTGTGTGATCCCCTTAGCCTAGACTCACCTGCTTTGCTGTGATTGCCTGTTGGTGAGCCTGTCTCCTTCAAACAGGGGCATCTTGCGGGCCCAGCACACTCTCCCACAGTGACCAAACTTTCTGATTTGCCTGGGACTTTCCTGGTTTTAGCACTGAAAGTCCTGCATCCCGGAAAACAAAACCACTCTGCCCTGGGCAAACCTGAGGACTGACCGGCACCAGCAGCAGAGTCAAAGCCTCCTCCCAGCTGGGGGGCTCCAGGGCGACCACGTGCCACCCTGGGATGAAGAAGGAGGGAGGACGTCGGGAGAGCGCAGGGGGCTGGGTTCTTAGCCAGTTCCGACAAGTTCCAATTCAGCATCTCCAACAGGAAGCTCAATGCCTTGTCTGCAGTAAGTGCTCGGTGCATTGGAGTGTTGTTGATATTGGTGTAATTTGTGAAGTTCTCCACATTTAAATTCCCTCTGCTGAGATATAGCCCCTCCCTGACCTCTCAGAGGAAACGTGTTTCCTTGAACCCAGAATGCTGATCAGTACCCTTCCCTTTCTGAGCTCCTGGGCCCTAGCGCACAGAGCCTTCCCCCTTGCAGATGACTGGGGGCCAGTCCCCATGCCATGTAACAGGAGGAAAGGAAACAAGGTTTTGCTGCGTGGAGCCCGTTTCTGTATTTTAAACTATTGAAATAAGACTGCTAAGGGCCAGGCGCAGTGGTTCACACCTGTAATCTCAGCACTTTGGGAGGCCGAGGCAGTTGGATCACCTGAGGTCAGGAGTTCGAGACCAGCCTGGCCAACATGGCGAAACCCTGTCTCTACTAAAAAATGCAAAATTAGGCCGGGCGCGGTGGCTCACACCTGTAATCCCAGCACTTTGGGAGGCTGAGGCAGGCGGATTACGAGGTCAGGTGATCGAGACCATCCTGGCTATCACAGTGAAACCCCATCTCTACTAAAAATACAAAAAATTAGCTGGGTGTGGTGGTGGGTGCCTGTAGTCCCAGCTACTTGGGAGGCTGAGGCAGGAGAATGGTGTGAACCCGGAAGGCGGAGCTTGCAGTGAGCCGAGATCGCACCACTGCACGCCAGCCTGGGCGACAGAGCGAGACTCCTTCTCAAAAACAAAAAACAAAAAACAAAACAACAACAAAAAATTAGCCAGCCATGGTGGCGCGTGCCTGTAATCCCAGCTACTCGGGAGACTGAGGCATGAGAATCACCTGAACCCAGGAGCCGGAGGTTGCAGTGAGCTGAGACCGTACCACTGCACTCCAGCCTGGGCAACAGAATGAGACTGTGTCTCAAACAAACAAACAAACAAACAAACAAACAAACAAAGACTGCTAAGAATTAAATGCCCCAGAGGGTAAGTGATGGAGTTGACTATCCCAAAGAAGAGCAGGGCAGAGGGGTCTGACCAGCAGACTGGGTCCCTAGAGGTGGAGGCTGTGCACAGTTTGCCTGATCTAAGGTCTGGCCCAGGCCTCAGCCCTATCCTGGACCCAAGACGCTCACTCCCTACTTTAGGCACCTGCTCCAGGGGGTTTCCTCACCACCACTACCCAAGGGTCTGAACAAAGCAAACTCATCCTCTACATTGACTTCCTTCAGAAGGCTGCTTTTCAAGCCCCAATCTCCAAAAAGCATGGTCCACTGGGCACCGCTAGCCTCACGAGATGCTGCTGTGAGGGGCCGAAGCTGGAAATCCGTGGCTGGAGCCTGGCCCCTGAGAGGCAGCGAATGCCCTGACTCCAGGCCCTCCCCTGGATCACTGTGATGACCAGAGATCACCCACAGGGCCCAGAGAAGGCAGCTGGTCCTTCCGATGGATGGTGGCTTCCAGCACACTAGGGCCACACTAGGGCCTTGCTCAGGCAGGCCTGGAACTGCACAGGCTTGACCGGAGAGGCCTGAGCAGGCCAGTGGGCAAAGTGACAGACCAGGCAGAAGTTATCCCTGTGAGCCTCTGTCCAGGACATCATATGCAATCATTGCCTGAAGGATTATTTAATGCCACATTGTGTTGGTCATCTTTTATGCTCCATTTCACAGCCTGTCAGTCCAGCTGTAATCTCTCAGTGCCTGATTTAGCTTTCTTCCCTGGGCTTCCCTGCCAGGCAGAGCTGCTCAAGCTGTTCTGGGACATCTGCAAACCGGCAGGTGCAAGGAATTAACATCCTCTGGGGGCAACCTACAGCTGATAGCGGATGGGTAGACACAGTCTCCCCATAGCCCTGAGGCTCATTCTACAGGTTCCTCAGAAGGCCTCCAGTGATATTGAGCCTCAGCTGCCCACAGTGGTGTCAGCTCAACAACACAGCCTTGGACTGGCTGAGCCTCCTTCCCAGTTTCATTCTTTCCAGTCCCCTATGCCTGAGCCCATGGATCACTTCCTAAATGTGTGTTCCTGCACACAAACCTTTGTTGCAGTTTCTGCTTTTGGGAAGAACTCAGCCTGAGACACAAGATTACTTCCTCAGATACTGACACAATCCTGTTGTGCCAAGCTCAGGTTTACTAATAACGTTTTACATGTGTATAGCACTTTACAGTTTACAAAGTTCTCATTCCAGCTGTGTAACCATTTGCCCCAGAACTCAGTGGCATCACTATGATGACATCACTCAGGATGGAGCCACTCGTGACGCTCAGAGATTTTGTGTGCCGGGGACTGAGAGGGTGCAGGGGGCATAGTCTTTTTGCCCCTGATGTCTGTGGCAGGTGTCAGATGGAATGATGAGGGCTCACTCACATTTCTGGTGAGTGATGCTGGCTGCCGGAAGCTCTACTCCTCTCCATGAGTAACTTCTCACAGCATGGCAGCAGGACTGTCCCTCCTCAGCCTCTGAAGTCAGGCAGCATCATTTCTATTCACCAAGGCAAGTAAGCACAAAGTCCCACCTAAGGTCAGGGGGCGGGGGGCCATTTTGGGAAAATACAATCCACCATGGTTACTTCCCATGTTATCTCCTTTGATTCTCACAAAAGAGACTGTATCTAATCTTTGAATCTGCAGTGCTGAGGTCAAGTAGCAGGTGTGCATGCAGTAAATCACATTTGCCTTGTGGACAGAGACAGGTTTTAGAGTCAGACTGATCTACGTTTGAATCCTGGTTTCATCACTTAGTACCTGTATGATCATGGAGAAGTAATTTAGCTTCTCTAAGCCTCAGTTTCCCAATCTTTACAATGAAGCCAAAATACTCATTTACCTTGCTGGTGCTAGAATTTGATGCAGTTGTGTGTGTAACATGCCCAGCAGGCTACTGACACCTGCGGGATCAGCCTCTCTCTGTTTCTTCCTCTTCTACTCCATCCCACCTCCCACCTCCTACACTAATGAGCATCTTGGACTTCCCAGCAG